AGGTTCTCAAAGCCAAAAAGCTGAGACCATTGCCCTAAATGACCCCCATGCCCTTGCAGCAGGCGATTGTGGATCCAATAGTGAGAATGGGAGTGGAAGGTGACAGATGGGTGCAGAGCAGGGTGCTATAACAGTCAGCTGTATGATGCTAAACAACACCTCCACTTTGGTAGAAGGGGGGGGGGGGCACTGACGTAATACTAAACAGCCACAACAGCAACAACGTGCACGCTCCGCTCTGCTCCGCGCTGAGGGAAAGACAAGGGGCTCCAGCGCTGTGCCAAAGGGAAGTTGGCCTCAGACCCACCTCCTGTCACTGCACATTAACAGAAACTCCGGGAGACAAATCGCTCCTTATTGTGTTAATGAAAAAAGTTTTTGCGGAACAATCCGAAGGGTGCAATTCTAATCCTGTTCATTTTACAAACAAAGTTGCAATTAGGTATTCACACAGATGTCTGAGCGTGTTGCCCCCATGTATCATTACCATTTTCTATAAAAGGTAATGATAAATTAGCCAAACATTATCTTAGGCTTTTAGAGGAAATGGCTAAGAATGGGACAATAAACCATAGTCCAGTTTCTCACAATGAATTGGCAATACTAATTTGTAATACATTTTTATAAATCTGTGACAAACACTATTTATACATGACGGATGCAGATGATATTGCTATTTTTACTCAAAACTAAGACCAACATATATTAAAATGACAGCTGTTTAAAAATGGAATAATCAGAACGATCCGAAATTGCAATTATCTTGGCAGTTGGGACTGGGCAATCTAGGAAAATTTGTCCAAATAAAAAATGTGCCATATTGACCAATTGCAATTACTTATTTGATAAAAAAACATGCATAAAAGTTTATATATTTAACACAAGATATATTTGAGCCAATCTCGAGGACACATGGGTGACTGAAGGAATATTGTGGTGACCCATTTCAATTCAAGTGTTTCTAATCACAATTCACCAAAGTTCTTTCGTTTTTTTCCACAGCTCTATGTAGAGAGCATTCTAAACAATGGATGCAATTACATCATATATTTGGAGCCCTAACACAGCAGTACCAGTGCTGTCGGTGGTCAACGGCAATAACAATTTGTGTAATAACAAAACTAAGTGTTGTCCAGCGAGGCCAAATTGAGGAGAACACGCATTTACTCAGCCATGTTTATTCTTTTAATGGTCCTGGTTGTACGCCGGCTTTAGCTAACTCCACCAAGCACCTGTGTCTGTCTTTGAAGAGCCGTGCACAGCAACCACATACCCACGGGACATTTCAGCAATGAGACGTACAATAAAAGTCTCTGTAAAAAAAAGTTATTTATTCCCCTTTGGAAAAAAAAAAAAAAAGTGGGAGAAGTCGGACAGTGCTGCTAACCTTTGAAGAGGGTAGGCAGCAAAGGACATAAAAACCAGGGAATGACAGGGACATCCTCGCTAGAAAACAATAAAGAGACTGGAAAAGACTGTTTTTTATCTTTAACAGCAGCCGTAAAACACACACAAAGCTGAGACCTGGCAACAATGGCCCAGGGCGAGGGAGGGGAGCACTGGCTGAAGAGGCAGGAAGACCAGTGCTTCCCAGACACACGGGTCTTCTTCCTGCAGGAGGAAGAAAACGTGATGGAGACTTTATGAAAGAGGATGACAGGGCAGGCCGTGCAGCGTGGCTTTGAGTGCCTTTGGTGAAGTCAAGGACAATAGGTTTGCACGAGGGGAGGGCGGCGTAACTTCCCATGTGCTCAATACATTATGAGTATTATGTCCAGATCGTCAGATATTGGTTTCTGGAGACGTCACGACAACAAGACAATGCTTAATGAGTGGATACAAAGAAAACAGCTGCTTGTGGTGTGTATAAATCAATGTTGCCAGAAGAGAAAAATAATAATCTCCTGGTATTTTTGTTTCATTGTTTCAACGCCAAGCAATAAAACGCTGTTCACTCCCAACAACAGAGAAAGACGCGCGCTGCCGTGCAATGAATTACTAGGGTTAATAGGGTCTGAGGATCTTCAAAAAAATATGAAAAGGTGTGTTTATAATTTATTTTTTTATTAACCGATCAACTGATTTAACTGTTTATTATCATTTGATTAATTGCGCAACTAACGGCTAAAGACACATTTTTAAAAGTGCAGGGAACTGAGGCATGCAATTGATATATATCTGCAGCCTAAATCCCATGCACTTTTAAAGATTGTCTAAATATAAAAAAAGAATATTACAGCTTTTTGCTTCTTTGCCTCAAAATGGCACGAATGTGATTTTACCAATAGATAGTGTAGAGTTTTCTTTTTTATTGGCTTATTTTTCAGAAACAGCACAGCCCCAAACCCCCTGCAGTGTTCACAGAGCCACACCTTAAAGTCTAACGCAGAGATCAGAACAATATGTCTGAAAGATGAGCCCTTAGCCAAAAATGCAGCCGTAAAAGACAGCTCCAGTGTGTCTCCCCGCTTTTGACACCATTCCACCACATCCTGAGTCCCAGTGTCACAGCCAAGCCTAGATCTTGTCTCCAGCCAGCAGCAGATAAAATTACTATTTGAAAGTCCTTCTCAATGAATTGGTTGAATTAAACCTTTCATTAACAAGTGGGAATAACTGCACCCCAAGCCAAGAGTTGGACCGAAGTGGTATCCCCTCAGAAGGCTGCATGTGCAAACTATAAATCGACCACCTGACATGCATTACAAATGACTGGCTTGTAGAAGGTGAAGATGGACAGTGGCAAATGCGCACTGACAGGATCTCCAGTGCTTTCTGTAGCATGGTTCAGTGGGCAAGAAGGTGGAAACAAGAGTAGAGATCACTGATGGCAACCAAACCGTCTAAAGTCTGCCAAAATAGAAAATATGGTAAGATTTTGCATCTCAGAAACAAAATAGCCCCAAGGTGGTTCTGTCGCAACTGCTGTCACTCTCAGGAGTAAATGAACCAAAATGCTCAAGAAATATTACAAGAAAATCAGATAGAACATCTGAAACTTGCCCCTGCAATGCATTTATACATCAACACTGAAATATTCATGCTTCTTTGTTAAGAATTCATGTGAACCAGTGTGGAAGTTAGTCCCCTGGGAGAGAGTGGAGATAAATTAAAGGGATCCACTGCTCTTTGCAAACAGCATGCGGCAGTTGTCCAGGGGTCTCCAGCACATAAGACCCCTGACCTAAACAAAACGCCTTACTTTTTACACTTACGTCATACACAGATTATCAATTTGGACAAAGAGTAACGACCCAGATTAGGTTTTTACCTAGGTCCCATGATGTAAACGGTTTGGGGATTGCGTCAGACGTGACATCATTAGAAAAAGATAAGCACGAAATGTTATGTGCAAGACTGGGGCAAACTCTGCAAAAGCCATTTCAATGAGTGATGAATAAACGTTTCTTCCTACAAGTTTGTATGTGTTTGTGATGGTTGCAACATGGGCAGTGGCCATCTCATGCAAAACCACAAGCAGCCAGTCTCACAAATTTATTCACATCAATTGAAACACACACACACACACACACACACACGTCATCATTTTGTCCATGTAAACTGTGTGATTTTAATCTGATTACAGCTGTCAAAATCAAAATATACGTCCAGCCAGGTGCATTTTATAAATTTTACATTTACTTTTGATGCCATCCTTACAAATTGCTGTCTTATTGCCATGGATAATTGTGAATTACGCTTCACTGCTCATCCACTCTGCATTATGGCATGCTTGACATTTCCAAATATTATTAAAACAATAAATCAACGTGTGTGTGTGTCGCAAGTACAAATGAAGAAATGAAGGGAAACAAGCTCCAAATATTTCAAACATATGTAAATGTATTTGTTAATTATACCAAATATCCAAGTATTATTCTATATTTCATAGGTGTGTGTTGTACCAGAATAATATATAATAACAATGCACCTGTGCTTGTCAGTGAAAATTGGTGACATTTAGGGGTCGTCTTTGCATTGATGTGGGACCGTAAACAGAGGAAACATTATAATGTGGTTGGAAGGGCAGGATTTCTCTGCAAAAACATTACACTCAAACAAAATGAGAGGAGATGCAGCCGCAGCCTCAGCGTGTGTGAGGGAGAGTGTGTGAGAGCTGTCAAGAGCAGAGCGCACAGATGAATAGAGAAGTGTTCCCATGAATTCTGCTCAATGACTAATTATACTTCATGTATGCGGTGATCTTTATTCTTTGATTCTTTCCGAGCTCTTTTTTAAAACAATGGAGTAAAGAAACTCTTTGATAACATGGGGCACAGCATGCAATTAAGCAACACAAATATGCACTATATGTAAAATGATCACTGTCCATTTGAAAACATTACAACTATAAGTTTGGTCGTTTTCATAATCTGTTCAGAAACTATTCTTTGCTGGCCATATATATTTTATATGGGAAAGGTTAACCAATGAAAGACATTTAAGAAAAAACTAAAAAAACACAGCTAAGGATGAGTGTACATCCCTGTCATTCTATTTATAAAATATGTATGAATAATGATTCTGTCACCTAAGACTCAAGTTAACTCAAATGGACACTTCATATTTGTCCTACAGCTCTCAGTACCACACTGCTTTACCTGTGGGGCGGTGGCCCCCGAATGCGGTCCTGAACTCCATTATGTGACGTATAGAGTTCAATAAAAACTAATGTTTTAAAATCAGCTCTTCTTGGCCAGTCCAGGGAAAGAGCACCTCAAATACACTGTAATATAAAATCATTGCTCTAAATCTGGCTTCAAAGGGTTGAGACAATCTAATTGATGATAAAAGACGACATTAAAAGTGTGTCACTCACCCTGTGTCAACTGTGTCACCCCTATATATCGAACAAAGCCCCTGTCTATGACAACATTTTAACATCATCTTCTGCAGAAGAGAATGCACGCGCATGCACCATCTTTACGCATGCTTATTATATGCGAAACACACAGCAGCAGACTTGTGGTGTGACAAAGGGACGCAAGTGCTGCACTGACCTGAGTGGGGAGCCATTGGTATGTGCGAGGGGTAGTATTTCCCCGGCGGGAAGTGACCGGCGTGCTGCACAGATCCGTGTCCAGAGGGAGCGATCCGCGAGGCGGCTCGATGCACCAGGGCGCCCCGCTCTGACAGAAGATGTGCCTGAGCCGCAAAATCCCGTCCTTCCATTCCGAAGAGGGCAGAGTAATCCGAAATCCGGATAGGGCCGCTCAGGAAAATCAAATGTAACCCATATAAGAATCCTTCCTCTTGCGTTTATGTGTTGCATTCAGTCGTTCGCAGGCTTCTCCAGCCACATACGCAGCCCCCGATCATCTTTTCTGTCAAAGAGAAAATACAAGGAGGCGATAAACATTAATATTCCGACTGTCATCTCGTGTGATCAACAGAGTAAAAACACACCATAGTCCTTTAGCAAAGGTCCACTTGCCAGTTCGTGCATTTTGACTGAGTAACCAACGAGGCCGACGCTATATTTGCAAAATAAGTGATTGCAGAGAATTTGTAACCAGTCCACGACAGATCTGCGTTCTCAGTTATTGATCAGGCAAAAGCCTGCATGCATCGGAGAGGAGCTCTTCACATTCACGCACGTCTACACCGTGCAATATATTCAGCCACTTCGCCATTCCTCATGTATCTGTCAATCCCCAGTAAAGCTAGCGATATGCAACGTATCAGAGCATTGATGATGGGGGAGGGGGTGTTATTACTATTCTGTTAAGACATATAATAAGCACCTTCCTGCTCGTATGGTTTGTAGCTCTGTCATCTGGTTCAGTTCTCATTACACCTTACACTATTTTAATTGAGGAACAAAGGGTATCACACAAATTAGTGCGTTTATTGTGCGTACAGAAGCCTAAATACGTCCATGCAACAAACGCCTGACGTAAGAGTGGTTTGGAAACGAAATCAGCATTTAGGGATAAAACCAAAATGCATTAGATCGTGAGAGATGGACCCTCTCCCCGTGTGTGTGTGTGTGTGTGTGTGTGTGTGTGTGTATGTTTGTGTGCACTGCCACACACACACGTATACACACACATGCGCGTGCGCGTAAAGGATAACTGCACTTTCACTGTCTTTATTTGTCAGAAAAAAATTAAAAAGTCAACAATTCAACACATTCCATAGAATTGTCATGGCGGAAATATATTTTCTAAAACTGTCATGAACTAAGTCATAATGGTTATTGGGCGAGAAAGTCATTTCACTTTTGAAAAGCTGATGTTTGATTATAAATATGCATTTCCTGTGTTCAATAGAACTTTTTTCCAAAATGTTACATAAATGAAATTTATTACACTTATTAGGCCATATAATATACAATAATATTGATCGCACAAGACGTCAGAATTGTGCTTTGTAGGTATTAGATGAGGTATATTCAGGCCTCTTTCATCCTGGTACTATCTCCTATGCAGCCACAGCTAAGGGCTGCATCCACAGTACACCCCACAGTGCTCCCTGCCTCCTCCATGGCGCTTCGTGGATAAATGAGGAACAAAGGCGTAATACAGAGAAGAATAAAAATGGACACAAGGTGATAGAAGCACGCATCTTAATAGCCGAGCTCGCTATAGTGAGCTATGCGGTAGAGATCCAAGGTGAATGGCCGCCCATCAGGAGCACTGCCTTTGTCTCCATGCTGAGAAAGTGCTCGGCAGTCAGCCATTACCTTGCCTCGACACGCTGATAAATTCTCCCACTTTATGTCCCCTCGGCATTTTTTATCTTTCGACACAGGGAAAGCTAAAAGGATGTGGCTGTAAAAGCTTCCTCGAACTATGAACAATTACGGATTTTTCCTCACGCTTCAGCTGCTGGCAGAAACACGCACGTATCCAAAACTATCAAAGTGCATTAAAATAAGGCCGTTTCCTCCTCATCTTTAGCTGTACCTCTGTCCGGACAAACGCTCGCAGATGGTCACAATGGTGCCACATGTTTGCAGCTACACGGGGAGATTCGCGTCGTGCTCCGGGACTAGCGGACCTGAGTGACTGAGCTAGCCCAAGGAGAGGCTCTTCGGAGCGGCCACGGATAAAGATGTCTACCGCTGATCTCCCGGAGCTGAGCGCGGGGCTCTCCGTACGTGCTGTTTTGGGGGATTTGTATCTACGCTCACGTCAACACTGCTTTATTTTGTCTCCAAATTATGACAAAACTTAAATTAATATAAAAACACAAAACCATTGCTGTAAGGTTTTGAACAATTCTTAGCTTTATATACTTCGCCCACAAACCAGTTTGTAAAAAATAATAATAGCAATGATAAAAACAAAATAACAATTATATTACCAAACAATTATATTAATATATTGAATAATAATTATTATTATTGCAATTACAGTATAATTAATGTACTAAAAATTAAATAGTCTAAAAATTAAATCAATCGAAAACGCAATGGCCAAAGCGACGCGACATCATTTAAATACCAAAATACTACTTCTTAAAAGACCTGAGTAAGACACTTAGACATCCATTTAATTACTAATTTTAATGAGGAAAAATCTACTTACTGGTGTGTTTAATCCTTGCATAACAATAAATAATAAAATCACAAAACACTTGGATGAAACGTGTAAGGTGCGACGCCCATTAAAATTGAAAATCTGGAATAAAACATGTGGCAGGTGAAATCCTACAGTTTGTCCATGTGAGGCTGTGCATTAGCTGGTTCAGTATGGAAGCAGTGGGACTGGGGCTTCCGGCCTGGCTGGATCGTGGCTCGGATCTCAAGGCAGCGGTTTCTCTCCCTGTGCAACTGCGAGCCCCGCGTCTCCGCCAGGGTAAACAGGCCTCCCCATTGGCCAGACAGCGGCATGGTAATTAGTTTGTACCGCCCGCTCGAGAGGAAACAGCGCTCTGATTGGCTGCCTTCACAAGCCAATTCTGTGCTCACCGGCGACGCCAAACACTGGAGAGAGCGCCAGATTTAAAGCACTGGCTCTGAAAGGGAGCATTGACCTGAAGACCTCACTGTGCAGAGGTGGCATATCATACAACAGTTGGATATGTCTAATATAGTTTGTGAAATTTTAGGCAGGAGTTTGACTCATTCTACAGTTTTGAATGAAATCAAATGTGTAATAGTTTCCTGAAACACTGACAAGTATCTTAAAGGTGCACTATGCAACTTTAAGATGTCGTCATGTGCTTGTGTCCATCTAAATGTTTTTTTTTTTATACTGTAAAGTTGTATGCATTGGAGGCAAAAGAGTTGTTTAGACTACTGTTGAGATTTAGGGCTATACAAGAGTTGCATAGTGGCAAATTATTGACCATGTTATTAATAAATCCACTGTAATTAGAGCATTTGGTACACACTCAATGAATACATTATTGGGATATCATCATTTGGACATAATATCAGTCACGGCACTTTTCATAGGTCATCTGCCTTCATTCAACTGTGTTTTGTTTTCACCATACCATTTTCATAATTCATTGAAAATAAATGTCAATCATAAGAGCCTTCAGTTTGGCAAATCCATTGTGTACAGCTTTGAAAGTATTTTTATATTATAATATATATATTTTTTTACTGTATAGTGCTCCAAATGATTGTATTATTTTAATATTCAGCTATTGTGGGATGAAATTAAAGATTGAATATATTTTCATTTTTCTATGTTGGGTGTTTTTTCTGGATTTCTGGATTATTACTATGGTTATTACAGTTTGCTAAACGTTTACAAATGGATCCCTCAGTATGGAGGGATTTTATTGGCTGGCGTGGTGCCAGAGCATTGTCAGTCACAGAGTGTAAACAAGGCTCTGATTGGCTGTTGGCCAGTCCGCATTGGGCTGTCTGAGAAAAGGCAATAACTGGCCGCGCGGTTTCAAGGCTCCCCTTCAAACATGATGAAAGGGGATAAGGCGAGGCTGTTTCAAGGCCTACCATAGGCGGACCCCTGTTGGCCCTGAAGCCATATGAGTCAAGCGTGAATCAAAGGGAATGGTGCTTTGGGGGGGAAATTATATGTTGGATATTTAGAATAATGGAGGTTAGTTTGGATACATTTGAACCGGCGATGCGTAATCCTAACACAAAGTTATGCATAATAACGATCCTCGTGTCGCCAGCGCCAGGAAAGGGAAGTGGAGATCTCTTTCAGCTTCGTGTGGAGTAAAGCTGGAGCCGCGCTGGCTTCTGCTCCTTCTGTTCTCTGGAGAAGAGCACGGTTTGTGTCCGCTCGAGGTTTGTGGCGGCCCGGCCTGGTCTGACCAGAAGCCCGCGTATTGGAGAATTCAATTATTTATTTCTGCTTATTGTCAAATTTGGTGGACCTATTGTAGGTTGACCTGCAAGCGTCTGTTTTGAAAGGAATGAGGGCGTCAAAGTAGCTCATGAGAACACACCATCAATAAAATGGGCAGTTTGTTTATTATTTGTTCATTTTCTTATGTAGTTTCTTGTGTTTGAAGCTAGACCTATTTTGAAGGTTTTTGTAAAATACGTGCACTCATACGTGGATGTATATACTTTTACAGCACCTTCTTGTGCCTTATTTATGTATACATACATAGACTATATAATTATTTAGTTTTCTTTTCATTGAAATTTGCACATTTTCAATAGCCTTGTGAATGTACATATATATGTTTAAGTACATAAAAAGTACAATAACGTGCTGATATACTATTGTGTATCTGACAGATCATTAATATGTATTTATTTTGAATTGTCATTTACACATTTTACATTGCTTTGATGAGGTTGATATGTCCTTCTTTGCTTCTCAGCTTTACCTTTATTTACCCAAAAATGTCTGTCCATCACAAAAGCAAGTGCACAAAATCAGTAGATAGACAAACAGCTAGTTACTGGCACCATACATAAAACAGTCATAATGTGCAGTTAGTGATTTCTTTTGGAAAAGAGCCTTTTTACGACAACAATTGTCCTTGGTCAATGAAGCAGCAATGATTGACAGTGTGTGCCTCCCACCCACGGACAAAAAGAGCCTGGAGCAAATAACACTGCCTTCTACTTCTACTCAAACAATTAGAATATTCAAATATCCTTATAATTGCATATTTATTGCAACTAAATCATAATGGTAATTTTAACCTTTTAGAAAAATATTAATGTATGCTGTTTTTTAGTGTCACAATATTCTGTTATTTTGCTTGCGTCAAAGCGCTTATTTCAATAAGGTTTTTCGTTTTCTAATTATTGGGGATATTTAGTACGGTAATATAATTTTTTTGTGGGATTCATAATTGTAAATAATTGTAAAATGGTTGTTGTATGTATTTGCCTCGCTGACATGTGTTAGCATATGGCATCCACATTGCCCCAGATCTAGAAAAAGAAATCTAAAGAAATAAATACTTGTTATTGAACTATTATTATTTTCAGTTGTATCTGTTGGCGGTCACATCACATCACACAATGAGTCACAAGACAAAAAATGGGATAAAACACTTTCTTTCTTTTTTTTTATACATTATTTTTTTGGCTTGTGTAATTATTGCCTGAAGTGACTTATATGTAGTTAGATTTTACATCCTATTTTTTGTTAGTTTTATTTTTGAATGCTGCTCGCTCACTGTCGCCTACTTACACATTAGAGCTCCGTTCTCAACAGCATCTGATGCAAATGTAAAGGCCTCTCCTTAATTGGTAAAATTGTCAACATCAGCCATATTGTTATTGTTTATTTATTTTTCATTTGCAGAAGTATTGTGCTGGAGGACACCGGGGGGGCATTTGCATGATTCCGCCGTGGTCATGTGACCCAAGATGGCTGTTGTCAGAGAAAGCTCTTGTCTGGAGAAGAAAGGGGGGTTTGTCGAGTGATGGATTCTGTCCCAGCTGCAGGTTGGAGAAGCGTTGCATAAGAATCACATGGTAAAACTGGAGTCATGTTGGAGATCAGATTGGGGCTCCACACTCTCACCATAGTGTCTTTGATAGATATATTAGGATAGTAGTATATTACAGCTGTCAGTTACAGTAGATCCTCCTTACAAGAAATGTCTTAATACGCAATCCATTACAGTAGCAAAAATCATACACTCGTAATGTTGTTTTTCTTTAAGCAGTTATAAGCATTACCTGTCCCAAGTATTTACAAAAAGATGATGAATCAATCAAAAAATGGTGCAAATGTAAGTATATTTTGATACTTAAAAGAGGGGGAAACCATGGATATTCACTTTGAGTAATCATTACGAATGGGTGAACATATTTGTGGCTATAAATGCAACCACCAGAGCAACAGTCTATAATAACATTTATAGAGGCCGAGCTCAAACTTGAGACCAGTCGAGACTTCTCGCATCTGCTCCATAATCAATAGGGGCTCAATCAATGGCGATACATTTAGATTAGTTTCTTATAGGTTTTCTCACAGCGCTGTCAAATTGCGGTGCTGCTTTACACTTCACTCCGCCGTGCTGTCTCTGCAATAAATCCAGTTTAGCCATCATAGCACCAAATCAGTTTATATGACATGTATATGCCTTTTAAATTCAGTTTCCAATTAAAGGTGTCCCCTGCCAGACTTTCACCCAGTCTCCTTCTCTGCCACTGCCCCTTATAACAGATGCCACCTCACTCATATTAATTTCGCATCCCAATGTCCGATTGTGCTCGCAACATAAAAGTGATGAGGTGTATTTCAACATGGCGACTGATACGACTCGCTAAGATACGAGGGCCTGTTTATGGATCTTCAAATATGCTGCTGTTATCACTCTCACATAGCAACCTGACAAGCCAACAACACCTGTCAAAGGATTAGAAAAAAACACCCTGCTTGATCATTTTTTGCAGCAATGGTTCAAAGACCAACACATGCTTGAAAGTTCTCGGACGAAAGAAACTGGTGTGATGCATACTATGGGTTTTGGGACGTCTTTTTTAGCCGTTTGAGCGTTGATTTCTATTTTCCTAAACAAATAGAGCCGCACAAACGGACGAGCGTGGAAAAAAATGGATCCTTTCTGACAGCAGACAAATGACTTCCAGCTTCACACGAGCTTGCTGCCTTTCTTTGATGAGATATTTTGGAGAAAACATGAAAACATCGCTGAATGCAAGTACAGTACGCACCGAGCAAATACTCTGCATTTTCACTGTCTGCACATGATGGTGATTATGAAAACATGATGATTTCAGTGCTGAGGGCTGTTAATAGCATTTAGGTCACAAAGGTCATAGTCTCTCCAAGGGGTTTCCCTCGGCTCACATTTTACCATGAAACTGTAAGCTATCTGTCCCAAGCCGAGAGGAAGGAAGCAAACCAAAATGTTGATGTATTTCCTTCCAGTTAGCAGCCATAATGTTAGAAAAGGCATGTTTTAATCTATATTGTTTCAGTCAGATCTATGAAAGCAGAAATTGTACTGATTATGGACTGGGTAATGTATTGCCAGTGATTTCGGTACAGTAGGTGCAATATAGTTTGACCTACTGAGTTAGAAATGGGTAAAAACATATTCTCACTGCATATAAGTGATACACAGAATATTTTTTCCACCCAAAACATTTGACATAAATCATATAATTTTTTGTTTGCGTTGCGTTTATCATCATTTTCTATAGCATCCCTAATGCGAACAGCTACAATTCCAGACAAAAACCCACGGCACCACCATTGTATTCGGGACAAAAAAACGTGTTGCGATGGATGAAACCCTTGGGGAGTATTTGAGTCTGAAACCAAATACATTTACCTAACAGCAGCTAATGTAAGGTTTAATTTGACAAATGAGCGAAAGAACCTGGATGAAGCGGTCTGCACATGCTCGTTAGTGTCATTACTCACATGGGACAGAAGCCTCACCGTATTAGGAGGAGGGACTACACACACG